GTTATGGTGCGTATCTCTATTTCTTTTTGTGTTGAATTTGATGTGCCGTTTCTAAGTTTTCGTCTTTCTTCTAAAAGATTGAGAGTCCCTTCAGTCATTCAATTTTTTTTCCTAACTGTTTTCTCTTTGGAATTAGTATTGTTGATTACTTCAGTGTCTTCGGTAGTTACTGGTAGGTCAGCTTCTGCTAATGCTTCTCTAAACTTTTCCGGGTGTTTTGGAGTCAATTTTTGTCTTTTATTTGTGATTGTTTTACTGTGTAACTTATGTTTTTATATAATTTATGAAGATAAAAAGAAATACAAACAAAAAATTATCAGTCATTAAGACATTGTTTTAAAGATAAAAAATATGTTTCTGCATAAAACTAAGATAATGCCATGGCTCTATGGCACTATCTCACGAGCGGCCACTGGTGCAGTGCCGTTTCGTAGACCGTCCTCTAGATACGTATCCTGTCCCTAGTCCATAGAAAATTCCACTAATTCATCACTTTAATGTGCCTATCGAACAGTTTTTCTTGAGTCTTCAGTACGAATGACACCAGATTTATCGGTCCAGAGGCTTAGTTTTTTATCCGGTTTTGCCAGGTTTCGGTATAAGTCTCCACGCTTTTTTTATGTACTCCAGTTTTAAGGTAATCTGTAATACCATACATCATTTTTTGTACATATTGTACAATAATATAGTATTTAGTTTAATAAGTTTTTAACTTTTTTCAGATATATTTGTACTTATATTTTTTATAAACAATTACAGGTACTTAAATATATCTAGAAATTGTGGAAAAGCTTCAGTTTTCGATACTTGTGGCTGTGATTATGTTTGGATATATGAACCTCCCATCGATGATGCTTCTGGAGAACAATTTTGCGGGAGGTTTATTAAAAGTAATACATCGAATTTGACTTACATTAGTAAAACAAAGACAGTAGCTTTTACTTTTGTATATAATCATGAATATGGACATGCCTTTACACTGGACTATTTTACAAAAAGTAAGTATACATTTAAAGCATGTTTAATGATGCCCACAAATTATTCCAAATTTTTGCCTTCACACAATTCTTTTAGCTATATACATGGCTAAAAATTCCTTGGAAGAATTATGCTACGCTTTCTAATTGGCATATAAAGGGCAAGTCATGGTTCTCTTATGATCCTTTCCCTTCTCAGAAATAAGTCAATAGCTTGTGTATTTTGTCTCTCCACGAACCCTTCACTTATAAGAACAGGTATAATTCTCCAGCTTTCTAAAAAATCTCAGAAAATTAATTAAGTCTCTTTCACCTGAGTCGCTCTCCAATTAAGTATAATTAGGGTCAATCTCGCGTAAGCCAAAAAAATCTCTTTAGAGAAAATTTAAGCTCTCATACGTATTTCGAAAACTGTTACCTTATTTTTGTACAATTATTATTTATGAGTTATACAGGTTAACTTGGCAGTAAGTCGTTTATTCAGAATCAGACCGCATACATGAAAATAAACGGAGAAGAAACAGATCACATAAAAATACTACGTGGAGTTAGACAGGGATGAATCCTATCGCCGTTGATATTAAATATGTACTCAGAGAAAATTTTTAACGAGGCTCTTTACGGAATAGAAGGCGTCCTTCTAAATGGTGAAAGAGTAAACAATGTTAGATATGCCGACGACACCATGGTGATAGCAGATAGTTTAGAGGGACTTCAGAGGGTAATGGACAGAATAAACGAGTACAGTTAACAGTATGGACTAAACATTATTACCCACAAAACGAAACGAATGATTATCAGCAAGGAGAATATAAGCGGGGCTCATCTATACATTAATGGGACGCAGATAGAGCGAGTAAAACAGTATTGCTACCTGGGAACTATTATAAACGAACAGTGGAGCAATGTTCAGGAAATAAAGTGCCGCATAGAAAAGACAAGAACGGTCTTTAACAAAATGAGCGCCATCTTCAAAAGTCACAACATATCGCCTGATACAAAAATGAGACATTTGCGATGCTATGTGTCTCCGGGGCGGAGGCATGGACGCTTACAGACACCACTATTAAAAAACTTGAAGCATTTGAGATGTGGCTTTATACAAGAATGCTGAGAATATCATGGACAGCAAGGATCACGGACAAGGAAGTTCTAGGAAAAATGAAGAAGGAACCAGAGATTGTGTTTACGATCAAACGCATAAAATTGCAATATCTGGGACACGTTATGAGAAATCAGTACCGTTACTTCCTGGTACAGTCTATATTGCAAGGTAAAGTCAAAGGTAAGCGAGGACCCGGTAGAAGGAGAATATCATGGCTGCGGAATTTAAGAACATGGTTTAAGAAAACCTCAACGGAGCTGTTTCGAGCCGCAGCGAGCAAGGTTATGATTGCCAATATGATTTCCAACATCCGAAACGGATAGGAACCAGAAGAAGAAGATGCCTTGTAATTCAATTAATTTCATTTTTTTATTAATTATAGACTTAATGTCACTTATGTTTGCCTTCATATATCCTACTTCGCATATGGTATCATATCAACAAAGCCAAAATAACAATAAAAAGAGTTTTGGGTTGTAATATCGAATAGCATTGGTAGCTATTCACAAGATTCGACTAACCTCATGTTTTGGAACGGCTTTTCCAGGTTTTTGCAGCTTATATTTTTGTGTAACATAGGGTTCTCCACTCAATCTAGCTTTACTTTGTTTTTTCCTTATTGATTTCGTATTTTTTTTGTCGCCAAACGCACCAGAATCCATTGTATTTAGGTTAAAACGCAAATATATACACAATAATTACTATTGACAATACGTCAACCTATATACTGGCATTAAAAACTGCAGTTTATACAAAAAACTGTTAATATCTAGTCACCAGATATATGCGTTATAATTATTTTTACCAGTACATAGGTCACCTTATTAAAGAAATATAATGACAATATTAATTTTTATTTTGTAGGAAACCGATTTGTCTTGCAAGGTTATCCCACAGCGAGTAATATGAACAATGCAAGCCAATTCATATCGTCGCCTTTTTTTCCACATTTATACCCCATGGATTTAAGCGTTGAATACGTTATAAATTGCGAAACGATAGAATCATGTCGAATTAGCTTATTATTCACCGATTTTCTCGTGGACCCATCGTCGATTATAGAGGTTAGTATACAGCTATATAAATTATGAAAAACATATTTTTCAGAAAATAGTTCCTTGTAGCTTATTGAGCTTTTATCAAACAAATATTTTATTGGAAATGATTTATAACTATAAAATAAACTCTTACACACAACCAAACTTACATCACCATGTATTTCAAAACAAATCACCATGTTTTTTTAAACGAAGAATGAAGGTTTTTATTGAAACTAAACAAACCAATAAAAAAATCAGATAACACAGCTCGGCATGGTATAGATTATATGTTTTAGTTGTAAATTGAACGAAAAAAAAAATGAAAATATGCATGATGTGGGGTTAACGGATGTACAAAAGGGAAAGATTATTGGTCTTGTGAAGCAAGGAATATCTCAGAGAGACATAGCTGCAGTGGTAGGCGTAACACAGGGTGTTGTGTTAAAAACCTATACTATATATCAGCAGTTAAGAACGCTTAAGAATAGACCAAGATAAAGTCGCCAAAAAGTTACAACGGTTTGCCACGATCTTTTTATTGTCCAATTCGATAGAAGAAACCCAACAATTTCTCACCCGCAACTCCAAAAGCAGCTTTTGGAAGGAACATGTGTAAGTGTTTCAGTTAAAACGACGAAAAGAAGACTTTGTGCCTAAGAAATATACATCAGTAGATAGTTACGGGTTCCTGAGTTAACCAGGCAGCACAAGATTGATCGCGTAAATTGGTGTCTTCAATACTAAAACTGAAACATTCAAAATTGACAAAATGTGCTATTTTAAGACGAAACCAGGATTTGTGTGAAACCATATAACCGATGAACTCGTAAAATTAGAGGGCGAGAAAGACAAGCAAGAACGGAAAGTGCCAGATCTGTTCACCGACATAAAAGAGGATGTCTAATTTTCTGGGGAAGTAATATGGTTGGTGAAAAACTCTTTATATTTCCATTCAACTAACTTTAATAGCTTGCAGGTACGTTGATTTGATTCTAGAGCCTGTAGTTAGACTCTGAAAAAGTGCAGTGGGAAAACATTTAATTGTCATGGATGATAATGCACTTACACATACCAGCAGAGTCAGCACAGACTTTCTTGAAGCAGAAGATATCACTATTCTGTAGTGGTCTACTTGCTCACCCGACCTTAACCCTATAAAGCATTTGTTGATATGCTTAAAAAGTGAATTAGACCTTGCGGGATAATCCACAAAATACTGTACAGCTAGTACAATCTGATCTTGAAGAAACTAAACAACTTACCTCAATAAAATATTGACAATTTATTTAGCAGCAAGCTCACGTGAATTTTAGCTTGCTTGGTTAGTAACAGCGACTACTAAGAGCGACATAAATAACTAAAACAATTTAAACATCATTCCTTGTCCACACTGAAATTTTATATGCTATGGACTTTAAAACAAAAAAATGATTTTCGGTTTTATTATTTAAGAATTTATGGGTTTCTTTAATTTTTAAATATTAGTGATTAAATTTCTTTAAAATAACTGTTGTTTGACTTCGTAGGTAGTTTTTTTTTATTATTGGGTTTAATGCGTCGACAACTAATAGTCATTGGCATGGTAAAGTGAATTTTTACAGTCAGGTACCTAGTGTAGAGTGTAGTGTGTGTGTAGAGTAATTGTCTTGATACTTAGCAAAGTCGACGTCATTGTCTTTGCTAAGAGACGCTAATTGTATCCGAACGTCTGCGGTCCCTCCGGTGAGTACCGATCGCACAAGGATAGAAATTATTTTCATTTATTAATTTTTAATTAACGAAAATTTCTCCACCCAGGTGAGACTCGAACTCACGACCTTTAGGTTCAAAGGTAGGCGCTCTTACCACTGAGCCACAGAGGGGGTTGGTAGGTTTTTTAAATTCGTTTAAAATAATACGAAATATCAGATGTTTTCATATATGTGTAGTTTAACATTTAGGCTTGCAAAATTGTTTTATATTTATAATTGCTTTATGATAATAATAATAATAATACTTTATTTCCTTTTTGACAAATACAATTTGTATAGGATCAGTCACAGTTTAGAAAACAAAATTACTAAATATAAATGTAAATTTAAAATTACGCTAAACCTAAGGTTACAAACACAAATAGAAAATGTAAAATTACTAGCATATACTTAAAATAATGTTAACTACTAAAATATTCATCAACAGAATAAAACGTATTCTGCAATAAAAAATCTTTTAAAGTTAATTTAAATATTTTCATATTCTTACATTTTTTTATTGGCTCTAGTAACTTATTATATATTCTTTGACCTATTATTGCAGGTGAGTAAAAATGCATATTTTCCGCAAATCGCCAGGAAATTTTGACATTCCTGTCAAAATTTCTTGAAGAAAAAGTCAGGACTTCCTTACTGTAAGGAAATGTCATTTCCTTACTGCAAGGAAATGATATTTCCGTACAGTTGTTAGTGTTAACCAGCAATTAAATTTATAAGCGTCAAGTTTGACAATTCAACCTCAATACGTTTCCATAGTAAACCAAGTAATTTTATTATTAATTTCAAAGCACCATTTATTTGGGAATAAAATTATCGCGTTTTTTTTAAATCAATCAATATCTGTCGAATTTTAAACGATTTGCGGAAAAATAGTATGTTTACCTCATAGGAAAAGCCACATTCCTGGACTCTGTGTTGCTAAGTCTCGGCTTGCGCCTCGACTTAGCAATCTTCACAGTCGTCCAGGAACGTTAAGCTTTTCCTACCCGGTAAACAATGTACTATTCCTTTAGAAAAAGGCACATGCAATTTTTGATTCTGCCTTGTATTTTTATTGTGAATTTGACTATTAGTTTTAAATTTATCAATATTTAAATGAATAAAAACACAGACTTCAAAAATATAAAAGCACGGCACAGTTAAAAGTTTATATCTAGTAAAAATAACTCTTATAGCTAGTTATTCGAGAAATACCAGCAATACAACGCACTATTCTTTTTTGAGATAGAAAGACTTCACTGAATTTACAAGACGTACCCCAAAATACTATGCCATACCGCAAACGAGACTCCACCTGAGCATAATACAGCATAATTAGGCTGTTTTTCACTTAGCGCATCTTTGAGGTTTCGAAGTAGGTAGCATGCTGAGTTTATTTTGGAAATAATATCATCACATTGCCTTTTCCAATTGAGACACTCATCAACATACAAACCCAAAAACTTTAGGCATTGAACTTTTTCAATTTGTGTAGAATATATTGATAGTTCGATATCTAACAGATGTTTCTGTCTATTGTGGAAGTGAATAGTATGCGTTTTATCCGCATTAAGATGTAAGTAATTTGAGGAAAACCAATAACTAAGATCACACAAAAGTTCGTTACATTTATTTTCAAGAGATATTTGTGATTTATCTGATATAAATAAGTATTGAAGTATCATCTGCATAAAGTGTAAACTGTACAGCAGAATTTACTGAGATAATATCATTTAAGTAAATAAGAAATAATATTGGGCCAATTACAGAACCTTGCGGAACACCCATATGAATGTAAATATAATCTGATTTGCAAACATTTTCTGAGTGCTGGGATAATTCTATCCATTTTAGAGAGAGATCTTTTATTCCAATATTTTCTAATTTATTAATGAGTAAGGTATGATCGACACAGTCAAATGCCCTACTGAGATCACAAAAAATTCCAACAGGGCATTCATCCGCATCAATATAGTTAGTAAATACAATAGAATAGAATAGAAATATGCTTTATTGTCACTGAAAATTATTGAACAATTTTATGGACAAAGCTAAAAAATAAATCAGTCAAATAGTACAAAAAGTATAAAACAAAAACAAATATAGTAAAAAACAGAATAACACAATTTTAAATTAGTAAAATTATTGTATAAACTACATAATTTGTACAGACAACAACAAATGAGACAAATTGTAGCCACTGCTTGAGACACCCAAATGTAATTATAAACAATACTAATTTTGTTTCTTTGTTATACATTAAGAAACTCGTCAACTGAATAATATGGTCTTTCCGAGAGATAGATTTTTGTCACCTTACGAAACTTAATGAAGGATGTTGCGGATTTAATTTCTCTTGGAAGGTGATTATAAAGTTTCTTTGCACGATACAGAATAGAATTCTTTACTAGCTGAGTGGACGGGATCGGCAAATAAACGTTACACTCCGAATTTCTAATGGAGTAGCCATGGTCAGGTCTATCGGGAAAAATGTTTAGATGCTTTCGACTCAAACAAACCGTTTCCAAAATAAATAAAGAGGGAAGCGTCAAAATTCCGTGATATTTGAAGTAGGTCTTGCAATGAGTTGTTTGTTTGAGACCAAATAGATAACGGATTGCTCTTTTTTGCAACTTAAAAATAGTATCAAATTGGGCCGCTGTACTAGAACCCCAAAATGGAAGCCCATATCGAAGATGGGACTCGAACAATGAGAAATATGCCATTTTGGCAGAAGATAAATTTAGTTCCTTCGAAACAGATGTTATTGCAAAGCAAGCTGAGGATAGTTTCTTCCCTTAAGGAGTCAGTATGCAAGGACCATTTGAGATCACTGTCAATGAGAATACCTAGAAATTTCACGGAATTTACGATATTGATTTGGCTCTCATTCAAAAGCAAGGGTTGCATGACTCCTTTATAAGATAATGCTACAGTCTTATCCACGTTAAAGCTCAGTAAGTTGGAATCTGACCAAGCCTTGATTATAAGTAAATCAGCGGTTATAATTGAATGAAGCGTTGAAATATCAGAGCTGCTCCAAGTAATACTGGTATCATCAACAAATAGAAAAATTTTCCCTTTAATTTTCAAGTAAGTGATGTCATTAATGAAAAGTAAAAAAAGAATGGGACCTAATACTGAACCTTGCGGTACTCCACACTCAATATCTTTACAACTAGAGTCGGTGTCATTTATTCTAACCAATTGTTTCCTACCTACTAAGTAAGTTTTGAACCAGTTCAAAGACACACCCCGAATTCCATAGAAAGTTAATTTTTTTAATAGAATGTCGTGATTTACGCAGTCAAAGGCTTTGGAATAGTCGCAGAAAACGGTGGCGGAGGAGAGGTTACTGTTTAGTGATAGATATACATCATGTAACACAGAAAATATGGCATCACTAGTGCATTTATTAGACAAAAAGCCGAACTGATTTTGCGATAAAATATTATATTTAAGGAGAAAGGGCATAAGTCGAACTTTTATAATTCTTTCAATAATTTTTGATAGTGCTGGTAACAAGGCAATAGGTCTATAGTTGCAGGCATCAGATTTTTCTCCACCTTTATGAAGAGGAATGACGATGGCAGTCTTTAGGCAGTTAGGGAATGTACCTTTTTCAAGGGAATCATTTACTAGCGAGACCATGACCATGATAAAGTCTCATAAAATGAATGAACTGCTGTGTTTGTAGACTTACCTGCCTGAAAGCCATGCTGACATTTATGAATAATACCGTTCTCCAATAAATAAGAGTTTAATCTGTTAAGATAACAGTATTCGAATATTTTCGAAAATACTGAAGGGACAGTTATTATTAAAAGTCATACCTTAATATTATGTTTTAGTTTTTTGATTGGACTGGCCAAAGGATTCATGTGATTTCTGGGAATGTATTCAGACCGCCTGTCATCATAAGCAACGGTCCTTCTTTGGTGGTAAGATTTTATGCAAATGGGGCTTCACACCTTGGATTTAAAGCTTCCTATTCATTCATTTTGGGAAATATAGAGGATTCTGCATTTAAACCGCATATAGGTACGTAGTTATGACAAAAATATTTTTAAAGATAACAAAAAAAAATCAGTTTAACTGATTTGCTTGCACTATATTTTTCATTCAACTTTTATTGATCAAAATCAGTCAAGTAACTTGATTCACGATAGCGTGTCTTTAGTTGTATTTCTCAAATAATATTTTTTTGGCTGGGACTACTCATATATTATGTATATTAAACGTATGTTCAATTAAACTTATTATAGTAATTACCATAGCTTTTTTATTTAACATCTCATCTTCAACGATTTCCAAAGGGGAAATTCAAACGTCAATAAACTAACTTTAACCTTTAATTGTGGCTTATTCCCATCTAAATTGTAATTACTTTAAAATGCCACAAGACAATAGCTTCAGAAGAATACCTAGATTGGTTAGTATAAAGTCGATCTGATTTTTATTGTCAAGCATATATGAAAGTCCTTGTATCTACTGGTTACTGGATTGATATAAATATTGTGCCGTTTTGGTGCCATTATACTGCTTTGATCGAAACATTGTAGTGTGTTCTTCATATGCTATGCCTTCCAATGAGACGAATTTTTTTCTTTTTTGCAGGAATATGAGAATAAGACAAGTCAGTTTGCTATATTCACAATCGGTTTAGAACTTCTTTCAACGTTGTCCAATGCACAATCTCTATTCATGTTGGTGGTTGCATTGTCCTTCTCTAAGTTTTTTAAAGCCCACTGATTTTCTTACTCCTTCCATTCATGTTTTCTTCATCTTCTTCTCTTCTGTCTTCCTGTAGGTTTCCATGCGAGTACTTGTTTGTTTCGGAAGTCTTTGTTTTCCATTTGCTTTATACGTCCGTACCATGTGGGCAGCTTTGGTTATATGTCATCCATTATTGTACCTTCTATTCTCATGCGTTGCGTGATTTCTTTATTTGTTATTCTCTCCCTTCTCGAAATCCTCAATGGTAATCTTATTATATCCATTTCGGTGACTTATATCGTTCCTCAGTTTGTCCCTACTATTTGCCACGTGTCACATCCATATAATAGCACACTTTCTATCAATAGAATTTCAATCACTTTCTCTTCTTTTTTGTTTTCTTGTTCCTGAGAATTCTGTTCTGTACGGTCTGTATCCCTCTGTATGAAGTTATTTTATTATTATTTCCTTTGACTAAAGATATTTGATTTCACGTTAACAACTTCTTACTGAGTGGATCTGATGAGTTCTGGTAGGACGAAATGCGTATAAACGAATTGTAGAGGTACAATACGTGAAGTCAAATCTTTTCGATATCTTTATTTACTCGAATTTTGAGTATAAAACCAGTTCATCAAAAGTTCTTGCCTAGATTAACTGATATCTCATGGAATCCAATTTTAGATTTCCCATTCGTTCCATTCATCGTCTGCTTGCTGCGAAAATTGTAAGCACCTATAGAAAATGTCACACCGAGAGTGCAGTACGGCTAATATAGGAATGCACAATTGTCGGATTTCACGCCTTGTGCTTGGCGATACAAACAGGTCCAAGTGGTAGTCACAGAACCGTACCCAGATCTCTACGCCGGGCTGTGTTATTTATTATAAAATAATATATTGATAAAATAATTGCCTTCAAGTAGCCAAATAAGAGGCATGAATTTGAATAAAAAGACCTTAAGTTTTTAGCGAGAATTTTATTATAAAACTGTACACTTTATTAAACTAACAAATGTATTTTAAATTACATTTCTTGATAGCTATAAATATACCGGGTGGAACCTCCGGTAACTCGATTTCCGTGCACCCAGCCCAATATCATAGAAAAACTGTTTCTTTTGTAAATATGTGAAACATTATCAAGAACGGAAATATCGAAAAAGCTTTGCACATTTTTTAATCCCGGCGATGTTATTAAAAAAACAAGTTGCACACTTGAATCACTGCGAAATTTTAACATCTACTATGAAATTTTTTTTTGTGGAAATCTGAAGCGCAGTTTTTGTCCTTGTTAAACCATAATGCAGTCTCGCATTTTTTACATACAACATAAGTTTACCTAGTTCCTTGGCATAGCAACCTGGTAGTTTTCAGCGAAACATTGTGTAATTCCATATGGGATAATGGTTTTCCTTGCCCACACTTGACCAGATAAGCAGGTATAAGGTTTATAGTGTAAGTTATTTAACATTATATTATATTTGTACTTTATTAAACTAACAAATATATTTTAAATTACATTTCTTGATAGCTATAAATATACAGGGTGGAACCTCCGGGAACTCGATTTCCGTGCACCCAGCCCAATATCCGAAAAGCCCATACTCTGATTGGATTGGTAAATGCATTTTATTGGTTATACAGTGTAAAATAATCGAGGTTACTCACAGATATTCAATTAATTATACTAAAGTCGTCCCCTACATCCGAGATGTCGGATTAGCTTTCGCTACTCTCCCCTGTATTCGCGTGTATTATCAATTGGTATACATCATCTTACAGGTTGTCCGCAGTCCACATCTCAGTTTCCATTTTCTCAACAACATGAGTGACATAATTGCGCCAATTTTGCTCTGTGACGCGTGCGAAACCGTCGTCGATCAACTGGCGTACCTCGTCGTTTTTAAAAGTGGTATTATGGGTACCTACATATCGCTTAACTTGGTTCCACACCATTTCTATAGGATTCAATTCGCAGTGATATGGAGGAAGCCTTAAAATATAAACATTATGTTGTGAAGCATACTCATCAAGATGATACTTATCGTATTGATCTTTAAAAGCACGCGCTGCTTCTAATAGCTCGGATTTCAAATAACACTTCTCGAAAAAAATGTATTTTTCCACTAGCCATTCCTTGATTGCAGCTTTATTCCAGGAATTGTTAGGAAATCTCTCTTTACGGGAGTAGTACGATGCATTGTCCATTACAATGACATTCCTGCGACCATTATTTGGTAAATTTGATATTAATGTCTCCTTAAACTACGACTCAAAATATGCGGCATCCATTTCATCGTGATAGTCGCCATTATTTTTCTTTGCCAGAAAAACACGCTGTGTGCCAGGAAGGAAACCTCCTGAAAAACCTGCATGCAATAAAACATATCGTGGACCTCGTTTAGTAGGTGCTTTACACTACTAAATATATAGTATACATGATATATAAGTATACATGATATAAAATATTTTACTCGTACTGATGCAGATGCATTTTATCCAAGCCGGTCCTGTGAGACAATGAGCAATCAACAGCTGGAGAAAACCGACAAACCTGCGCGTTTATTCTCCGTAGCATTGCCGTATCTTACCCGTACTGCACTCTCAGTGTGGCATTTTCTGTAGACATTTATATAATCTCATTTATTGTAATGTCCATATCATTCTTAAGTTTGTGTTTAATTAGGTTGTGGGGGCAATGTTAACAATTTGGGAGGCGGCATTACAATGATGAATATGGTTACTGAAGGTACCACGTTGTTTGATTGTGTATGGATCGTTAAACCTCCAGAAAGTCTAAGACATAGGAAGACTCATCTATACGTTAAAGTAGCTACTTTTTTAGATTTCGGTGAGTAAATGAAAACTCTAGTTTTGCACCTCTTTCAAATAATTAAATTATTTTCATTGTTTAAATTTTTGAGCTGGCACTACCGAATTAACGATAAAGCAAGGTATAACCTCAAACCAGCCATCAGTGGAAGTACTACGTAATCCTATGGCACACTATGGTACTTCAAAACAAGTGGAACATGTTGTTCCGATTAACCAAGGTTTCTATATCAGATTACGAGGAATGTTTACATCGAAATCAAACCTGGCCATAATTTATGCAGCTTTTAATTACAAAGGTAAGTCTTATTTAATTATTCAACATAAATTATCAATATATTGCGCCTAACCACTCACTGTAAACATATTTAGTACCTCATACTGTAGCATTTTCAATTTCATTGATTCTTTGAAGTATATTGAAACCTCCTCGTATAATGAAATATATGGAAATCGCCTTATATATGTTTAAAAAATAAAACGAGGAATTTTACCATGTTTGTTAGTTCGTATCTTTCGAGTTTGAAATACGCATATTTGTCTTAGCATTGCTGGAGGTTAATGTAAACCATTTTAAAGTTGTTTATTTATTTTAACTTTCTCGGCAATTTGTTTTAATGTTCATTGGAAGCCGCGTTATAATTTCAAATACGTCGCAAAAGGATATTTACGTTCTAATTTTGTTGTGTTTTGTTATGTCAGCGTTTGTCTTATTTTCAATTTAAGATCGAATTTTTAAATTCGTCATTCATACTCGGGCCTTCGCAGAGTGAGGTGTGGATATTATTCATACTCGGGCCTTCGTAGTGTTAGGAGGTATGGATCCACAGATTCTCCATCGAATTTGTGTTCTTCTGTTTTTTTGGTCAATTTCGTGGAAATAAGTAGCAGTAGTCGTGAAATTTTATCCGTTATGAAGTGACCGGCATAATTTGCCAAAATTGGTGTTTTCGCTCGATGTAATATGACATCTTAGAAAGAATGACCACTGTTTCGTTTTTTTGAAGATTTTAAGATGTTTAAAAAGTCTAGAGTTCCTGATCCTGTTCCAGCCCCCAATGGATATTTTCGCTGATGATATCAATACTCCAGAGATGTGACAAGTTTTTTTTGTTAAGTGAAAATCAAGGTAACTTTTTTTTTGTGTTTAAGATTTAAAGTAAAGACAGACAATTTTTTTTTTATAAAATAATAATTGCTTTCGTTGAAATTTAAAAATTGTTACATTTAAAATTCTAAATTTTAGGTTTTGAGTTGAGCTTTCAATTTGTGTGTTTAGTTTTTTTTTAAATTTATTGTTAACTTATGACAGCTCGTTTTTTATTTCTTTTTGACTGTTATAGTTTGTTTTATTTTTAAACAAGGTTAACCTCCATGTAAATTTGTAAGATTATGTAGTATCTCCAACTCCTGGAGTTTGTAAGCGGATGACACGTAAGTTTTTGTATTTTGTATTTCTCCTTTTTGTAACTGTTTGTGGTGACACAAAAATAAATGTTGAATTATGTTTTCTTAACATTTTATTTCTTTTTTGAACTAACCTTTTTTTTTGAGTTTGAAAAAGATATGTTTTTGATTTTTTCTAATTATTTTCCTAGTTGCAACTAGTGGTTGTAATAGGTATAATTAGGCACCTCAAGTGGCGCCCTATATTCAATTCCTTAAGGTGTTTCCTGTTTATTTTTATTTTGTTTATCCCAAGAGATTAGTGACCCCTTTATTTAATTTTTTTGTAGTTGCCCCATTCCAACCCCCTTTATCTATTACTTATCCACGACCCCAGCTCTCCTACCAAACCCTGAGTGCCGTTCGCACAAGTAGCGATTATTTTGCTTGCCCTATCTCCATCCCCTTAGTTTCTTCCCCCAATTTTCTACCCCTTGTGTTAAAGTCCCCTGTGGTAGGTAAAATATTGTCGTTACAATACATCAGAAGTTCTCAATAGTTTGCAACTCCAAACTTTTTAACCAAGTGGCCAAAGCATAACATAGTAACTTTCTTATGGATGCAAGAGCATGAAGTAATTATATTGTTGATAGTCTTGCTAAAGAAGGACCTAGTCCTATTTTATCGGACTAAACTAGACCATTTTGAGATACACCAAAAAAGCCACATAGTGAAGGGTGTTCGAAAATGAGACAAGTAAGGTTTCCTTACTTTGATATATTGTTAAATACAGATTTTCTAACAGATTATATATAACAATGAAAATAAAGCGAAAATGAGACAGATAAAGAACTTAGAGGAAAAAATGCGAACCAAAGAGAACTAAACAGCATCAACAAAAATATATCGAAATCTATAAGAAAGATTTAAGAAGGTATAAAATCGAAAAAATAATACGAACCATAGAAGTCAACAAAGGGAGATGTCAGAGATGATATACCAATGAATGATTTGGTGAAAAGCTGTGCACAAATTCGAATGTAATTATAATTTCGAATTGTTTCTAATTCCCTGTGTCCGGTTCTTCTTAATCGACGATGATAAAATAAAATGTTAAAGTCATGGAGTGAAATATAGTTTAATTGACAGCTACTGAATTATTACACTACAGTTGTTGTTGAGGTAAAAAATTATAATAGACTGCGTCCCAATCTAGTCCCGAAGTTATATTTATAATCTCACGAAAATGCCACGATTCATCAAATAAGTGTATTGCCCTCTGCATATAACAAAAACCTTTGAAACTTTTGAAAGAAAATATAATTTCAACCGAGGAAATGATTGCAGGCAGTTCCCCAATACATATTAGGTATTCTATGGTTTTGCAGGAAGTTGAACAAGCTGTAATTAAGCTACTAATCGATATGTTTCACAATTATACACGGTGAAACTATACTAATTCAGGAAATTAAGATTAATGCGATATTATAAATTAATGGACTAGTTTGTAATTGAACAGCTCTGTATGAAACCAGAACCAAATGTTATAGAAACTAAAGATATACGCAAAGAACTAATAAATAAAATACATAAATTATTTTACCTTTGTCTATATAAACAAGAAGTCCCTAAAAAATGGAATACCGCCACGATGATCATCCTCCACGAAATGGGAGACCGTACTGATTATGAGAACTACACACCCATTAGTTTTTGCGTAATTTGCAACTTGAATTATTTGTTTCTGTATTTGAGTTTCTTTTGCAGTTAAACCATTCTTTATATAGATAATCTTTTTATGATTAGCTTTTGTTTCGGTTTCAATCGAACATATTTTCCCAGTTTTTGCCGTGGTTTTCAATTTCACTGATATTTGTAGGTCTTTAGCTATAAAATTTCCTATCTCTTCTCTTATTTTTCTATCATGATTTGCATTTTTTTATTTAATATTTTAATAAATATTACAATTTTATAATCTGCAGTCCACCTAATTCGCCAATGACGGGAAGTCTCCTGACCTCCTGTTGCTTCATGTAGAGGTCGCTATTAACGTACACAAGCATTTTATGTTACTATAACGACCAAATAAATAATCAGAATTTCATTTTGAGTTTGACCTATCACAAGTCTTCCTGACGAGAGGTGAAATCTTTAAACACGTGTGATAGAATGGTGGAGCTAAAATCGAAATGAAATGCAATCGTCTATTCTCTAAGCAAAAATTGCAATAGATAGTGTTTTGATCGTAAAATGTAGCTGGATTGTCGGAATAAAAGGTTTATATTAAAGGAATAAAAGGTGAGCAGTCTCTTGGCTGCTTGTTGCTTCGTTAAAATTTAGGTTGACTTCCATTTTTTTACAAAGCGAACACTTAAAATCGGACATAATAAATTAAACGTCAATTATGAATTCATTGTTAATGACAATAAGACAATAATATTATAAATTTATATTTGCAGATTGCTTTGGCGGATCGGAATTCTTATGCCACAATCTGAGATGTATATCGATTTTATTAAACTGTGATGGTTTCGATCATTGTGGGGATGAAAGTGATGAATCCAACTGTTTTCAGGGTAAGTTTTATAGGGACTGTTAAGAAAGGATTTTATCTTCACATAAGAAATATAAAACATTTTATTCTACAACTAATAAAATTTCACATAGTATTAATATTCCAGTAGTATTCCTTATCTCAACCGATATCTCTAGTATTTTTTGTCTTGTCAAACTTCATTTGCCATGTATCTCCTTTTCAGTGTCTCATTCATTTTATCTCGAAACGATCTTCTAGGTCTTTTTATATCGGATTCCATTCAGCGATTTTGTTATTGATACTCGGAATCCACCATAGTGAGTCTAAAAGTATATATACCAGGCTAGTCTTTTTTCCTCGGCACAATCGAATATTTCAGAGTTTATTCACATGTCTTTCTTAATATATGAGTTTTTTATTCTGTCCTGCCTTGTGATATATATAACTTCATATTAAAAAATTTATCTGTTATTGATTTTCTTATTTTTAATTAAGTTTTCAGATCTGTAGAGCAGTATATCTGGATGGTTCTAATAGTGCCTGGCCTGATTAGAAAATACCGGTAATTATTTGAAAAATAATTAAAAAGTATACATAAAGCATTCATTTTCAGTGAATTTGTGAAAATAGAAACAATTGGTCATCGTTAATGATATAAGATCTTTATTTGAAGGTCAACCTGTCAATGCAATAAAAGTTGAACTGCATTCTACTCTGAGTGAGTCTGCTCCTTCTTTACAACAGTAAAATATTGGGTAGCAGAGTTTAAAAGAGGCCATACGAGCTGCCAAGATGAGCATCGCAGTAGTTGACCACATAAGGTGACGACTACAGAAACGGTGAAGAAAATCGACAAAGTAGAACTGTAAAAGTGCGCGAGCTAGCAAACTAGTGAGCATTTTAAAAAGTGCGGCATTTGACATATTAACTGAAGATTTGGATATGAGAAAATGCGTGCAAGATGGATGCCGCGTTTGCTCACAGGCATAAAAAGTGCTGTGAGGATGTTTAAATTGAGTGTTTATCAAAGTTTTACAGCAATAAAACATAATTTTTGTTCCATTTCATAACTATGGAAGAAATATGGGTCCATCACTTTATATATAAAATTGTTGTATAAACTACAGAAAATGAAGCTAGACAGAAAAAATATCCGCATAATCCAAAACCTTTATTGAAACTAAGAAGCAACCTTAAAATATTACAACCACACTACTAGAAGCATCTGTATACAGAGGTATCCGACAAGGCTGTGTCATGTCTATATTGCTCTTTAACTTGTATTCTGAATGCATATTCAAATCAGGTAAATAATAACGTTAATAATAATAAACGGTAACCTGTGGGAGTTTTTATCAGTTCTTCTATCAGGCACGGCCCCTGTGAATGGGGGATGCTTTCTGGGTATTCTTAGAACCGATACCAGAGGGTAACAGGAATACCTGTCGAGGAACAAAAACTGACACCTGGCAGTAGGTATAAAATGCAAACCCATGAAAATGGTGAATAATGATTTATGTTTAGGGTCGCTGCCTGGGGATCGCCAGGGCATGTCTGGAGCCGGCGCTGGAAGTGACAGCATGCGGTACGTCGGTGGCAGGGTGTTGAGGAGGCGGGCCCCTGTCATACAATCAGCTACAGCCCAACAACAAGAACCACAAGAAGAACCACCAGTGAGCCAAACAACAGCAAGAGCTCTACTCGCTGAAGGTGCTGCGCTGGAACATCAGCTGGCGATCACTCAAGCGGAACGACCGAGGCAGCGCATGAAATGGACTGTGTCTATAAACGAAAACATTTTGCGCTTTTATTATAAGGTGACAAACCTCGGTCAAGAAACAATCGGCTATCGACAACAACTGTATGCAGGGAGTAACCAAAAATCCAAGTATCTGAACAAAGAGTAGGAGACCAATACCGGGTAATTATCAGAAACAATCTTATCCCAGAGACTAGACGCGACATGATCAAAAGCAAAGTCGAACGGGAGATTCATAACCTAGAACAAGTTGTAGACCAAGTCCCTAATGAAATCATTGGTGAGCAGATTCCTGAGCTTCTCAGCCAAGAAACTCCACCTGATAATATACAACAGGAGAATAACAAGCTGCAGGATAGTCTGGTAAACGAGATGGCACGTGCCGTAAAAGAGTTTAGTGGAACAAACCTACTTAGCAGACCACCGCTACCAAAAATAAACTCTTCTAAGAAACTAGGAGCGCTGTTACAAATTGTGAATACTGAAGTCCTACCCAATTATATCGTGGAAGCCCATACATTGGAATATTTGCATATGCTGATTTACTGTGCGGCAACAGCAATTGCTAATGTTATGGGCATTAAGATCAGAACACGACGAGGAACTAATATCGGAAGGACTGAAAACAGAATAGCACCCTGGGAACAACGACTGCTGAGATGATTGAATTACTGCGTAGGGAGATTGGACAAATTACGGAATACATTCGAGGAGTAAGAACTCGAAAAGTAGTTAAAAGAACTGAAGAAATAATTCTGAACACTCACAACATGATCCAGAAAACAACACAGCTCGACAATGCCTGGACACACTAAAACAAAAACTTTCCGTTTATACAGGTCGCCTAAGGAGATACAAAGTGAGTAACAACCGGAAATGTGACAAAATACTTTTTGAGAATGCAGAGAACTCTTTCTATAGGAAACTGAATTCCACTGTAGAAAATGTAAATAAATCCTACCCAAGCCAAGAAGAAATTCATGAGTTTTGGGGAAACCAACTTTCGACACCACTACTCATAACAACAATGCTGGATGGATTGAAGAAACGACGAACAACTGTCAACACTACAGTAATGTTTTCTATGAACCTTTTACCACTGAAGAAGTCTCGAACATTATCAAAGAGCTTTATAACTGGAAATCTCCTGGGCCAGACGGAGTTCAAAACTTCTGGCTAAAGTATACACGAGCATTTAAGAGTAATAATTAATCATTATATTTTTAATCCGCAGGAAACACCACCATTTCTTACTCAAGGAACCACTTATCTAATACCAAAGGATCCAAATAACACCCAAGATCCAGCCAAGTACCGCCCAATTACTTGTCTTCCAACTTTGTACAAATTGGTCACATCCTGTGTAACTCAGCGTATCTACCAACACTGTTCTCTAAACAAAATCATAGAGCCTCAACAGAAAGGATGCGCTAAGGGTTCCATGGGCTGCAAAGAACAACTTATAATCGACTAAGTCATTTCCAACCAGGCGTACAGAAAAAAAGGAACCTTTTTACCGCCTTCATCGACTACAAGAAGTCCTTTGGTTCAGTACCGCATGAATGGCTGATAGATATATTGAAAATATATAAAGTCGATGTTAATATTTTGATCTTTTTAAAGCATATAATGACGGAGTGAAAGACTAAAATTCACCTTCAAATACCTGGTGAAAAAAACATTGAAACTGAAGATATCCCAATTAACCGGGGTCTTTTCCAGGGGGACTCCTTGAGTCCTCTTTGGTTCTGTTTAGCGATGAACCCACTATCTCAGCTACTGAACTCCACCGACTCAGGTTTTAGTATCAAAAATAACAACACTGTTGTGGCGAAGCCTAATCATTTGTTGTATATGGATGATTTGAAATTAATGGTTTCCACTCGAAAAAGGTTCAGCCCGGCGGCTTCGATATTCGACATGGGTGAAAATGATATGTATAAATACCTCGTAATAAAGCAAGCGCGGAAGATTGACCATAAGCAAATGAAAACTGATATAACAACTGAGTTTATACGAAAGGTAAAACAGCTGCTTCGTTCACATCTTAACAGTAAAAAATTGTTTAAGGCACTAAACACCTACGCTTGTTCCGCGCTTAGCTACTCATTTGGTATTGTTAAGTGGACAAAAAACGGATATAGAAAATCTTCAGCGAAAAGTACGAACACACCTCATAAAGGCACAAAAACACCATCCTCGAAGTGCAGTAGAAAGAACAACATTACCGCGGTATTTAGGAGGTCGAGGACTTATGGATATAAGCTAGCAATTAGAAAAACAGATTACTAATTTAAGAACTTATTTTCAGGTACAAGAGGGGACATCTACTCTTCATAGCGCGATTTGTGCAGTAGATGCCATAACACCGATCTCATCCCAATGAGGTCAGTCAAGACCATGTCGACAATAGAGCGTCGAACTATTGGCTGACATCAGGAAAGATGTTCCCTGAAAAAGAAGGTTCACTACTGGCCATTCAGGATCAGCTTATACCAACCAAAAATTACCTGAAATATATCCTCAAAGAACCTCATGTCCAAAATGAAAAATGTCGATATGAACGTCAAGCTCAGAAAACCATCCAACATCTTACCGGGGGCTGTCAGGTGTTTACTGCAACTGAATATAACGACTCAGTAGGAAATATCCTTCATTAAGAGATAGCTATCAAACTGGGACTTCTTCAAACAAACCATCTTCCATATTATCAATACGTTCCTGAGAGTATACTTGAGAATGACAACTACAAGCTATACTGGGACCGCACTACGCTCACACACCAAACAGTGACACATAATAGACCAGATCTCATCATTATCATCATCATCATCATTCAGCCCATACTCGTCCACTGCTGAACATAGGCCTCCCGTAGTTCACCCCACAAATTTCTGTCCTGAGCCGGATCTCATACTAATTAATAAACTAAAGAGACAAATAACATTAATTGATGTGGCGATGCCCAACAACAATAATCTTCGTGTTAAACAAAACGAAAAAATCGCCTAGTACAGAGATCTGGAAATTAAAATACAAAGACAGTGGAGAATGAAAAGTACCCAGACAATACCTATTATTCTATCTACTACTGAAGTCATTCCAAAGAACCTCCTAGAATACATAAAAAAGCTAGGTCTGAATGAACCTCTCTACAAGACCATGCAGAAAGCTGTACTACTCTCAATGTCCAGATTTGTACGAAAATTTTTAGGAAATACTCCAGCATATCAAGTCACATAGGGCTCGATAACAAGGAAAGAGTCCCACCAGAGCCCAATCCTTTTGATACCGTAGGTATCTGGGATGGAAAATACCATTGCTAAAAAGCTAACCACAGGAACACCTGTAGGAAAAAGAAGCAAAGGCCGACCGCGAATTAGGTGGTTAGATGGAGTAGAAACCGACTTACGAATATTAAAAATCAGAAGATGGCAACATGTTGCCAAAAACCGAACAGAATGGCGACGAATCTTAGAGCAGGCTAAGATCCACAGAGGATTGTCGAGCCAAAGATGATGATGATGGTATCTGGGATGAGTGAATTTTCCCATTCGAGGGAGTGTGAGCCGTATGGCTAAATCTGGATAAACAGTAAATATATTAACAATATGAGGTAAACAGACTAAGTCAGGTAAAAAAATTGAAGACTTACAAAATATACTAGACAGAGTTAATAATGCAAGTGAAGCAACGGGACTGACAATAAATCTTAAACAACTAAAGTAATGGTGAGTACAATCAACAAAAATTGTCGCGTTGACCTAAATAACAGTTAATTAGAACAAGTTCACAAATCACAAAATCAGAGTTCATCAGAGTCAAAGTTCACAAATTCAGATACTTATGAATAGTACTAAGTGATAAGTGGGAACCAGGTACAAAAATAAAAACACGAATATAACAGGCTAGTAATATTAGCAAATTGTCTATAACCAAAAAGCTTAAGCCTAATCAACCGAATTAGAGTTATTAAATGCTATGTTTGGCCAGTCCTTTTGTATGGAATTGAAGCCTGGACATTAAAATTAAATACCATGAGTCGACTAAGAGCCTTTGAAATATGCTTTATCGCAGAATGCTCAGAATATCATGGACACAGCACATTACGAATCGAACAGTATTATACACCATAAATAGAGAGTTAAAGCATATAACAACGATTAAGAAAAGAAAGACCTTATAATTAGGTCACATAATGAGAAATGACAAATATAAACAGCTATGAATAATCATTAAAGGAAAGGTAGAGGACAGATGTGATGTTCTCATATCAGAGCTTGGACGGGCATCCACATTCAACAATTACTAAAAGTGGTGCAGAGTAGAGAATATTTTGATATAGTAATCGCAATCCTCCAGTAATGCAGTGCACCAGAAGAAGAAGACTTTATATCCGAGACAAAAGGACAATTCAAAAAATGTACTCAAAATGAAGAATCAGCTCTAAAATACGTGAACGTCGTTTTATCTGTAGGTAAGGTCATGGAATCGGTTTTTTGTGACGAGCGTGGGAGAAGTTCCATTGTCTATCTTAAAAAAGGAAAAACTACCAACTCTCAGTATTAGGCGAACCTGTTGCACGTGTGAGCAAAGAAATCAAGAAAAAGTGTTGTTTTATGAACACAATGCACCTGTTCACAAATCCATTATTACAATAACCACAATACATGAATTCAAGTTTGAATTGCTACTCCATGCATCCTATTCACTAGATTTAGCCCCCAGGATTATTTTCGGTCCACAAAATAGGAAAAATGGTTCAGTGTTTTTCCAAGATTTTTCAACCGTAAAGAATAATGTGATTGGCCTGGGCATCATTCAGAAAACTGTCTTATATTCTAAAGAATTCAAAATACCCCCAATACTTAAAAACGAGAGTCTTCAATCAATGTATACTCCCTGTCCTCACATATGGCTCTCAGACATGGACGTTTAAAAGGAAAATATGGAAAAAACAGGAAAGACAGAAAGATCCATGGAAAAACAAATACTAAACATTAAACTATCAGACAGAAAAAGAAACGAATGGATCCGTAATAAAACAAAAGTGAAAGATGTCTCAACCCAAGTAGCAAAGCTTAAATGGAAGTTCGCCGGACACACCCTAAGGCAGAAAGATGAAAGATGGACTAAGACAATTATACATTGGAGACCATGGAATCACAAACGAAAAAGGGGAAGGCCACAAATGCGATGGTCAGATGACCTGAAGAAACACGCCGGGTCAAAATGGATGCAAATTGTCCAAGATATTGAGGCATGGAAGAAGAAGGAGGATGCCTATATCCAAGGATGGATGTTTAGGGCTGTATAGATAGAAAGAATAACGTGACAGGTAATGACTATTTTGAGGAGCAAGACAGTTCCTATTATAAACAAGGTATTGAATTTATTGAAGATCGATGTAAAAAGTGTATATAGGTAAAAGTAAGTTATGTTGAAAAATAAATACATTTTTTACCAAAATGTCTGTATTTCCTTTTTGGTCTAGTACTTTTTGAACAACATACTTCTTGTTCTTTCCTTGTCATCTTTTTGTTTTTCTAGTAATGCTTTTGTATCGTGTTCAGTTTTGTTATAAGGTATTGTAATTATTTGTCTCTTATTTATATCTTCCCTGTTTGCTTCATTTTTGATATTATAAATACTAACTACATAAAATATGTCCCTTTTATGTGTCCTTCATCTATCTACAGTTATATTATTGTTGTTGTTGTTAAGTTGTAGCGATAAGACTACCAAAGAGAATTGAAGTACTATTGTAAAAATAATACCTTAATCAACCATGGGAGCTTATCGTCTATGCCTTGCCTAGCTCAGTATCTCAAGTGTAAGTTCGTCTTGTCTTCAACTAGGAATTGAACCCGAACCCTTAGTTGAGAGAAAAATAAAACAAATTTTAACCAATCATATTTATTAAAAAAAAAACATTAATCAATACTTATGGTACGATACTTATGGCATCGATGACTTCAATGGGCTGCTTGTGTGGCCTCCCAAATAGGTGTTTTGTCCTCCGGAGAGCTGCAGTTGTAACATGTGGATGTAGCCTCCCAATTAAGTGATTAATAAATTTTCATAATACGGCCAATTAATCCAGCCAATAAACCGTAAATATGGTTTATAAAATCGTCAATAAAATTGAATGTTGTCAATAAACTAAAAATACTACAACAACTTATATTAGAGACACATCAAAACGTGCTTTCGAAAAAAGTAAGGTTATGAACATTGGAAATGCTGTCAGAATTATAGAATAAAGATTACAATGAAAGTACTCACCCCAAGAGAATGTTGTAGACCATAAAATGAAGCTTATAATAATTTTTGCCTTCTTTTATAAATTTCAAAAATAGGCAAAAAATTATATTCCAACTAAATTAGAAAAGTTGATTGAAAGAAAGTAGGGAGACTAAATGAAGTTAGCACAGATGTCATATATCTATGATATATGACATGAAGGCCTATATCATGGAATTATCGTTTCTGTCAACATAGAACAGAGTATTTAGTCTACCGGAGAAAAAAAGAGGGTGAATATTTATTCTACTGGACAGAAAGAGGGAGAAAAGAAAGACAGAGGGCGACAACTACTTTTTGAAGAAAAAATAGTAAAAAGAGAAACTGAAGGTAAAGGAATTAATAAATTAATAAAGAAATTAAAATAAAATAATTATTTAAATGTAAATTAATAAAGATATGACGTTTATAATGTTACAGAGTGTAACAATTTGTTTAGAATTATCTCACATTTCCATTCACTTTATTTTCCATGGTTTTACAATTTTCTTTAGGTATATTCTATACAAAGCGGGGAAAGTAGATCAGTCTTTCAATTGCAATAATAGCTCATTTGTCGTAGTGTTTATGATTTTAATAAATACTTTGTTATCAATCTAGAGCGTTTTTTCTGCTTTTGTTAGCTTGCACATTATGGCATAAATTTAAAATGGAGAACATTTGCCGATAAGATAGTACTCGTGAGCAACAATACAGAGAAACTACTCTGAATGACTAATGACTACTATGAAAGAATCCGAATGACTTGGAAAAGGATAGAAAAAAGAAAAAGATACCAATAAATTACACACTTTGACAGTTACAGAGTTATCAACCAATAGATTAAAAACAACGCAGAGGACCATCGAACAAGCTAGGCTAGGAGTTTATCTGAAAGAACATATACGAATCGAGAACGTACGAAGCAGGACTAAGTGGGAGGATGTAATTAATTGCGCAATAAAATGCAAAGTCTTCGAAAACGGTGGCTAGACGACATTAAGATAAGATTAGAAAGAAACTGGCATCAAATTGCATAAAACATAGAAGAGTGCAGAACGCATAGGTATGCATTTGTCCAAAAGATAATACAAAGAGGCTGAAGAAGAAGAACATTTTTATGTTTATTTCTTCACCGTAATAATTTTTTTAATCATACACTTGTTGAATATTTTACATGAATGTTACTATTTTTAGATCCAAAAGACCACAGAGAGTTTTCCAAAATACCAAACTTCTTATTTCCTAAAATGGAACCATACTCTGACATAACAACTGCAACTTTTGTATTTCTGACCTGCAGTTTCGGTAAGTACCATAATAAAAATTGCTTACCTTTGTTTCATCGATACCTTTTTAGGTTTAATTGGCATTATTTTAGCGATGGCACTACTGCTCTACAGAGTAAATATGCGAGCACAACATCAAAGGCAGATACAAGATCACATAGAGACCATACACGCAATTTTAGGTATATTAATAACATACCTTCTTCAACAATTGAAATGGATATTACCGGATTTTTAAATCGCACTTACTTAGAGTTCCCGTACACAAAATTACTGTTGTATTTATTGATTTGACATAATGTTATAATACAAAGTGGTCAATAAGTCAATAAATGGAAACGAAATTTAGCCCAAATCACAATTGAAAGTCTGCATTTTATTAGAGGTTTTTCAATCCCATGCAAATTTAGGTCCAAATTGCGTTGCAACTCATTAGTAACATTTTCTAAGGTTTGAGGTGAACACCGGCTTTGATTGTATTGATATTTCAACCTAATCCAATTTAATACAATTTACATCTGGCGACACGGTGTCCAATTTATTCTTGTTATTTTATGATATCCTATCCTTTTACGAATCTATCGCATATTAATGAAAAAACTACAATTAATCGGCTCTATAACTCATTATGTTATTCTTGATATTAATAAGTCCATGCGGCAATCAAAACATACGAAGCGAACAAGACTCATTGTATAACCCAAGTTGTAGGTATCAGAATCACTTGGAGAGAGGAAAGAAATCAACACTAACATATCAAAAAGAAAACATAATAGTTTAAAGAGGAAGTGAAGATAAAATATGAAGAAAAAAAGAAAGCCTTTTTACAATACATAACAAAACAAACAAACAGGCATACAACCAGTATAAACGAATACTTTAGTTACACAAATAAAAAGAGAACACTGGCAGAGCTTCTCAAAGCAGCTTAAATAGAGTACAATTCATGACAACCACAAGACAATGCAGAAGTCAAAATGGTGACCCATTAACAATAAGGAAAAATGTATTGAATATATGGGTGAAATACTGATGGAAAGAGCATTTTCAGGAGATGCTAGGCACGCCCAGGGATAACGCAGATGAAATTGTCGAGAATCCACAGAATATAGACTTGCGTATATCTTGCGACGCCCCTTCCAAAACAGGAATAATAACAGCTATCAAATCTCTGAAAAATAACAAGTCTCCGGGAATCGATAACATTGCTGCCGAAATACTTAAAACTGATCCGCATCTAACTGCTGAACTTTTGCTCCCCATAATCCGAGAGGTGTGGGAAACAAACCGCATTCCAGCGGGCTGGAAAAAAGGCATCATTATTAAGCTTCCAAAAAAGGGCAACATCACACTATGCAAAAATTGGAGAGGAATAACCTTGATTACCGCCATAAATAAAATCTTCACGACCATCATACTTAAAAGATTAACAAACAAGGTTGAATTTCGAGCTAATCAAGTAGGCTTTAGACCAGAATCCTCCTGCATAGACCACATTAATACTGTGAGGCTAATAATGGAACAATCGGTTGAATGGAACACACCCCTATACATGGTTTTCGTTGATTTCGAGCGTGCTTTTGACAGCTTATCTCATGATGCGATATGGAAAATTTTAGAGCTAAGAAACATCCCGCATAAAATAATTTCCATTATAAAGTTACTGTACACTGAAGCGAAATGCAGCGTGACACACAATGGGATCAACAGTGACGAATTTGACGTACTTACTGGAGTCAGATAGGGATGCGTGCTTTCTCCGTTTCTTTTTAACATAGCTCTAGACTATGTTCTCTCCAAACTAGACTCTGACACAAGAGGGATACAATGGACATTAAAGACACGCCTAAGCGATCTAGAATACGCCGACGATATCTGCCTGTTAGGACAAAGGTTCCAAGATGTGGCTGACCAATTGGAAACACTTTCCACTGAAGCCAATAAAATAGGTTTGAAAATCAATATTGGTAAAACCAAATCCATGAGAATAAATGCAAGAAACAACACGCTATTCACCATTAATAACATGCAGATTGAAAATGTGGAAAACTTTACGTATCTTGGAAGTGTCATAACAGAAAGCGGAGGTACAGAAGACGATATTCGTATGAGGATACGAAAAGCGCAACAAGCTTTCAGCATGCTCAACCCTGTTTGGAGGTCTGGAGACTACACTACGAGGACAAAGATCCGCATATTCCAGTCAAATGTCATGTCTGTACTACTTTACGGATGTGAAACCTGGAAAGCCCTTACAGACAAACTGCAGGTCTTTGTTAATAAATGTCTACGAAGAATTGTTCGGATTTTCTGGCCTAACATCATCAGAAACGAAGATTTACTACACCTGACCAAACAAAAGAGGGTAGTAAATGAAATAAAGTCCAGAAAGTGGGGCTGGATCGGTCACATACTCCGAAAAAATAACTCCAGTATTGCAAAGACTGTCCTAGAGTGGAATCCCCAAGGAAAACGAAAAAAAGGTCGCCCAGTACAAACTTGGAGAAGATCCATCATGGACGAGATAAGAAAACAAGGAAAGTCTTGGAATGAGGTGAAGGCCTTAGCGCAAAATAGAACCCAATGGCGCGTTTTCACTGAAGCTCTATGCTCCACTTATGAGTTCAAGAACCTTATATATATATATATATATATATATATATATATATATATATATATATATATATATATATATATATATATATATAGATGTATATATATATCCTTTTATGAATCTATCGCATATTTATGAAAAAACTACAATTAATCGGCTCTATAACTCATTATTTTATTCTTGATAGTAATAAGTCCATGCGGCAATCAAAACATACGAAGCGAACAAGATTGTAGGTATCAGAATCACTTGGAGAGAGGAAAGACATCAACACCAACATATCAAAAAGAAAACACAATAGTTTAGAGAGGAAGTGAAGATAAAATGTGAAGAAAAAAAGAAAGCCTTTTTACAATACATAACAAAACAAACAAACAGGCATACAACCAGTATAAACGAATACTTTAGTTACACAAATAAAAAGAGAACACTGGCAGAGCTTCTCAAAACAGCTTAAATAGAGTACAATTCATGACAACCACAAGACAATGCAGAAGTCAAAATGGTGACCCATTAACAATAAGGAAAAATGTATTGAATAGATGGATGAAATACTTTAAACATATTAACCATTAACCCTTAAGTAGAATACTTCACTTAATATAGAGGAAAAAACAAGAAAACCTGGAAGACGGAGGAGATGAGCTAAGGGGAACAGAAGAGAGGAAAGAGGAACCACCAACGATTCTTGAAGTTAAAGATGCAGTTAAAAAACTAGCCAGAACCAAATCAAAACCGGAATAGATGATCTCCAAGCATCATGATGGTTATGATGGCATATTGGTATTACAGCAGCTTATGAAAGAAATATGGATACAAAAATTTCCCTTCCCAATGATTGGAATATTGAAATACTTTGCATCATCATCATCACTCCGGCTTTACAACCCTACGTGGGTCCCAGCCTCCTCAAAAATTTCTCTCCAGTCCTCCCTATCCATCGCCTTTCTCCGCCAAGCACGTATTCCCATTTTTCTCATGTCTTCGTCGATGTTATCAAGGAATCTTGGTTTAGGTCTTTCTCTTTTTCTCTGACCAATGGGTCTATCAAGGAATACTTTGCACCATACACAAAAAAGGAGATATGTTTGAATGCTTTAAGTACAGAGGAAATACGCTTCCAACATATTTTCCACAGTACTATGTCAGCATATGGCACCATAATTCAGAACGAATTGTAGAAAAATACAGCTGGTTTCAGATGTAGTAAATCAACAATGCATCAGATGGCAACTTTAAAACAAATTTGAGAAAAAAATACTGGAAGATGGCATTATACACATCACAGATAGACTACAAAGCAGACTACGACTCTGTAAATAAAGAGAAATATTCAAAGCAATGAAAGAGATAGTAATACCAAATCAGTTGGTAAATTTAACAAAAAAGTTTACGAATTGATGGGGAACTGTCTGAACCTTTTAAAACAAATAACGAGCTGCGCCAGAGAGACTCTCTCTCTGTATATTGTTTAATCTAGCTCTGAAAAAAGTAAATCTTTATGTCACAAATCACAACCATTGCTTCAATATAGAATAAATTAGGGCAAATCCTTGCCTATGCTGATGATATCAGTAGGATTAAAAGAATCAGCAACAAAAATGGATTTAATAATAAACACTAACAAAACGAATTATATGACAAAAAGCTCGCAATCACAAATCCTACGACCACTTGTTATAGAAAATGACGTCATCGAAGCAGTGAACGAATTTATATATATGGGAGCGCTTCTTAACACTGAAAATACTACGTGCGCAGAGATAAACTGCAGAATTAGATGCTATTTTGGTCTTAATCTCCTCCTTAAATTGATAATTCTATCGAGAAATACAAAAATAAAACTCCATAAAACAATAATACGCCCAGTCTCAACATATGGTTCAGACACCTGGACTCTAACAAAAAGTAATGAAAACATGTTAGGATGTTTGGAAAGAAAAGTACTAAGGTGAATCTATGGAGCAGTAAATGACAATAAAGTTTGGAGAAGACGATACAACTTCGACTTTATAGGATATACTGGGAATCACATATGGTAAAACATATTAAGATAGGACGTCTGAGGTGGATAGGGCATATAATGCGGATAAAACAAAATGACCCGGCTAGAAAAGCGCTGCTTGATAGACCCATTAGTCAGACAAGAAGAGGAAGACCCGGAACAAGGTTCCTTGATAAAGAAGAAGTAAAATATATTTGTAAAAGTAGATAGATACATATATTTAGAGAGGTGTTCTTTTGGCCTATTCCACATTTGTGGTCCTCTAGTCCTAGATAACATTCTCTAGCCTCAATGAGCTTTGCTGTTTTTTCTTCGAGGTGACATAATCTGCACAAGTCATCATCTGATAATCCCATCAGCTTCAAGTGCCTATTCAGCTTACAGTACCCTGTTAGAAGACCTACTATGGCTTTGACTGTTTCCTGTCTTTGCTTGTTAGGTCTGCCGTAAATTTTGGCAAATGTTTTGTAATGAACAGTTTCGTCTGGGTGAATTTTTTGTCACTTTGTCCTGGTAGCTCACAAATCTCCACTTTGTGAGCTACCCACTTCCTTGTAACCGTCATTGTTACTGTCTTTATAACGCCTCAGAAGGTTCCGGTCCAATGAATGGCATTTATGAGCCTTGTTTGGACATTTCATCTGCTTTTTCATTGCCCTTATGACCCTCGTGGTCCGGTCCCTATGCTATCGTAGCCTTGCTACGGACTCCTAGTTTATTATTAACACACACAATCCCATACTGGCTTAGAATTGATCTTTACAGAATTGAGTGCTTTAAGCGCTGCCTGACTATCTATGAAAATGGCAACTGAACGGAACGTTCTTTCCTGACTTTCTATTTCTTCCACGTAGTGATGGATTGTTTTCACTTGGAAAACTGTCACATCCTTAGATAGACTTACCGAGTAATGTATCCCTTGATTTGTCCCTATTATGTCGGCTCCCACACCCTCGATGTCTTTGAGTAATCCGTGTACCAGGTAGCAGCTGCTTGTATGGGTACACCTTTATTCCAATCTTCCCTACCTGGTATCTTAATTGTGAACTTATTGTTAAAGCTATATCTCGTAGCTGTTGCATCGATAGGTTGCCCCATCATAATATCGGCATTTAGATCCTTAATTATCTTTCTGTTGTCAGCATTATGCATCTGACTTATATGTTACTGACTATGGATTAATCTGTGTATCACTGATCTGGCTTCACCCTATGTAGAGATATGGAGTGGTGGTAGATTCAGCATGAGTTTCAACGCTGCTGTAGAAGTTATTTTATGGCCCCCGTAATACACAGGCATACTAGCCTTTATGTATTACCTAGCAGCCTTATTGCTCTCACTTGCTGCGTCATTGTCCACCACGTCACCGAGCCATTGGTTATCATTGGTCTAATAACCTTTGTGTATAACCATAGAGTAATTTTGGGGTTAAGTCTTCAATTCTTACTGCACATTCTTCTAGATCTGCCCAGTGACATAGTAGCTTTCTGTGTGGTTTTTAGGATGTGAGTATTCCATGTAAGCCTATGATCAAAATACACCCCAAGGTATTTTGTTTCTTTGGCAAATGAAATCTCTGTTCGTTCCAGCACCGGTGGTTTTAGATATTGTAGTGCGGTTTTTTTGTGAAGTTGACGATTTTTGTTTTCTGAGCATTGACTATCAGTCTCTCTTGTTTACACCAGTCGTCAACTATATTTAAGGCTGCTTGTATTCTCTCAGACACCATCTGGGCAAACCTGCCACTGACAACGGCTACTAAATGCATCCTTAGTATTTAGTACAGTACAGTAAAAATCTGTGGACAGACTTCTGAGGGGCTCATCTACCAAGTTTGCCTAAAGTAGAGGGCACAGAACTTCTTCACCTACGTTTGTTTTGATGGTTGCTTTACCCAGAGCGAATAATATTGTCCTATGCTCCAGGGATGCCTTTATCCATATGTATATTATCGCAGGTGCGCCTCGTCTACTCATAGCCTCTGTCAAAGAGCTGGTAATAACATTATTAAATGCCCCTTTTATATCTAAAAAAGCGGCCATTGCTATCTCTTTGTCTTTCATTGACTTTGAGAGAAGCCTATTTAGATCATCCAACGCAGAGTCCGTAGATTTACCAGGTTGGTATGCATATTGACGATTGCTTAGAGGATTATATTTTAGTACTTCGTCTCTGATGTACCTATCAAGCAGCCTTTCCAGCGTTTTTAATAGAAAAGTAGGTAGGCTTATCGGTCTATATGATTTTGATGTAAGGTCTGATACTTTACCTACCTTAGGCAAGTATATGACTTTAACCTTTTGCCATATTTCCGGTACCACCCCCATGCTAAACTGGTTTTGAGGAGCTTGCATATGTGTGCTATCAGTACCTCTAATCCCATATGCAAAAGTAACTACACAAGGTATTTTTTCCAAAAGGGCTTTTATAATAAAAAAGTTTTCAAATTAAAAATGACAGCAATTAAAATTATCCATTTCAATTGTTGACTAATATATTTATTACAAATTTCTCGTTACCTTTTTCTATTCTTAGAATATTAAAGCAGTCTATTTTTTAAACAAATATCTTTTGTAGAGGAAGGTGTAGGAGAAGTAGAAGAGGAGATAATCGTCCCAGATGAACCTCCTGACTATGAACCTCCACCGGAATACAACGAGTTACTTAAAATGAAATTTTTTAAGAACTTTGGAGAAATTAAAATGCATCAAAAACGGTTAGTGATAAAATATTTTCTTATTATTTGTAATTGTCTTTTTCTCTTTTAGTTGTCCAAGTTGTAACCTTTGTAACAAATCAGGTAGAGATACTAGATCAGTAAATGATATTAATAATTTAGTACCTGGAGAAAGTCTTCAATCTCACGCCAGCACCAGTACAACCCAGACCTGTTGTATTTCGCCATCGGTTCCTATTCCTGATTCTCCACCACCTGCTTACGACAATCTCCCTACGTTTAACATGGAGAATGAAGTAGTAAATGTTATTATTGAAGACGTGCTTGACGATGATATATCTCAAGCGGGTAAGTATTACAGTAAGGTGTCGTTTTATGTGGTGGATACCTTCCACAGAAAAGCGCATATAAAAAAAAATCGCATAAAAAAACATTACTTGCTTTGAAAAAGTAGGGATACGTTCCGTAGCCTTGTAAAATCACATAAAACCAAGATAAAAACATAAAAGTTGGCAGAAATTAAAAGAAATGGGCTGCATGATAAATTACTTCGAATATCTGAAAGAAATTCATACAAAAGCTTAAAACAAAACTTGTATTCAAAACTGAATTAATTTTATTTTACGGAAAAGTAATAGGTACATATATAGTTTTATATTTACATTTTTAATCATTATCGATATCTGATAATGGTTTGCACCGTTTGCGAAGTGGCTCAAAATCATCTTCATCATCAGAAGAAGCTGTCTCTGTAAAAGATATTTGCGGTAAAGGCGATGGATTTTCACAAACTTTATTCTCGTTCTGTGTAGCTCTTCCTTTTCTGATAATATAATAAGTTATTAAAATTTGCCATGATGATATAGTAAATTTCCATCATATTGATAGCACATTATGTATGCAAATCGCTAAACTGTTGATACGGGTGACTCAATGAAAAATAGATATTTGTCAACAAGTTTACAGAAGTATATCTCTATCTATCTATACAGCCCTTAACATCCATCCTTGGATATAGGCCTCCTCCTCCTTCTTCCATGCCTCTCTATCTTGGGCAATTTACATCCATTTTGACCCGGCGTGTTTCTTCAGCCTTCTACAGAAGTATATAGGAAAACAATTTTAAATTGAGTATGACCACCAGGTATAAAGGTTAAAGCAGAATAGAATACAATAGTTTTGAGGGTTACTAATCCGTAAATAAAGTTGCCAGTGTCGGAGTGATGGAAATTAACAGGTACTAATGAATTTGCAAGAAATGTAAGATATTTATTTTATTGGTTATATATAAAATAATTTGGGGCCGTAACAGGGGCCGATTTGTAAAAAAAATGAATATTATTTTAATCAAATTCCATTTCAGATTCACTGCTTTCTTCAGAATCTAAGGAATCTTCAACTCCAATGTTAATTATTACCGGTTCCAGCATTGCATCAGTCATATTATCCAAATTTCACATTTTATTTTCTTCCTTGTGAGCATGACTAAGAGCATTTTTCCAATTTTCTGGAGTTACTTTTGATAAGAAATGTTCTAATAATTTTTGTAAGTCTTCTAATATACAAGTTTTGTTGTTGCGTCCGACTTCACCCTTTAATTGAGATCATATATTTTCTATCGGATTCAGATCACAGTGGTATGGGGGTAAACGTAAAATAATTACATCACGGTTTAATGCCATTTCATCAATTATATATTTTTTATAAGCTGCTTTATGTTGCCTTACAATAGGTAATAATTCTTTTTTGTCAAATTCTCCTTACTCAATTGCGTATTTATCCAACCATTCGATTATCTCTCCATTTTTCCATGCCGTTGTTGGCAATTTTTCTGCTAGTCTTGAATGGTAACTAGCATTATCCAAGACTATGACAGAATTTTTTGGAATTAAATCCAACATTTGCTCAAAATATTCTTCAAAAACGTCAGCAATAATTTCCTCGTGGTAATCTTTGGTTGATTTTGAGACAAAATTTAATAATCCACCATTGACAAAACCGTATTCGTTTCCAATATGGGTTATTATCCTTTTCCTTTTCTAACGGGAATATTGTTTATTCCAGTAGATACACCTTCGATGAATGCCTGACGGGAACTTTTCAAATTTGTATCAACTCATAGATATGGTACAGTATGACCTTCATTTAGCCAAGTCTCGTCCAAATAAAAAATTGTTTTCCCTTCTTTTCTGTACTTTTTAATAGTTCTTAGATAATCTCGTCTCCAACATACAATGTAATCTTTTTCAATTAAAACGGATTTTCTTCTATTCTTTTGCCAACGAAATCCCATCTCTCTCAATAGTCCCCATAATTTCTTGTTGCTTATGATTGGTAACTCTTCGTTTTCTCTAATTAATGTTTAAATTTTGTCCAATATTGGAAATTCTTCTTTAAAAAAAATGAGTGAACGCTGCGTCTTATCATGTTTTTATCTATTTCTTCAATTTCCAATGGTTTACTCCATCCACTCTTCCTGGGAGATGAAACAGTTCCTCCTTTTCTTTCTTTTAGGAATGTATAAATTGTTGCTTCTCCAACCCCTGTCATATTTGAACACATGTTAACGATTTCACGAACATTACTTAAAGGGCGTTAATGTACAAGTGCATCGTGTACATTTAATATTATGTTTTTGTCTCTTAGACTGAAGGCACCTTTAAAACTACACTTAACCGGATAAAACCTGTTGTCGACGTCATTTTTAAATGCAAATAACAAAATATCGACACCAAAAACGTAGGTAGGTAAGACATGAACAATGTACATCTACAAACTAAATGGAAGATGCAAACAATTTCTAATTTATATTATTGGCATAAGCTGTAATGTCGCATAAAAACTACTTAACTATCATTAGTGAAGCCTTAAAAGTAATTTCAGGTAATCGTTCAAAGAACTTATTCTTTTTGTGTCAGGCGATAACTTGTATAGAAAACAATAATCACCTTTAAATTACTGTTTACATTAATTTATTTCGTGAAACATTGAATTCTCTCGTTAATCACCCGTGTATAAATAACAATAATCGTCTGGCATATATACCGACGTTTTTTACGCACAAAAAAGGTATAGTGAGATTAGTGGACACTTATTTTACAGAAGATTTTTTAAAAGATAATGAATTGTTGACGGCATCTTAAAATATTAATTTTTTTTATTTATTTCAAAACAAGTATAGGGTGACGCCTATAGTTTTTTGACCTGTTCAGAATTTGCATACATAATGTGCTATCAATATGATGGAAAAGGACTATACCAGTAATTTGTTATGTAGCTCACGATATCTTGACATGCAGTTCTGCAACTAATTTAAAGGCTTGTTCAGAATTGGGTTCATTAATAAAAATTATTTTATAATTTACGGTAAAGTTAAAGACCCTTTCGAATTTATTTGGCAGTGAGAGACGGGGGTTTTTCTTCCTCATCATTAACATCTTTTGGACTCACGACGCCATCTAAAGTTTGATCAATTATATCATGGTTACTTAATGCATCATCCACAAGCAAATTCAATGGTTACATTGCTTGTTACACATACTGGCCAAATCTTTTTCCAACAGGTATTTAAAGTTCGTTTAATTTGAGCGGAAGCAGATGCAACATGAATCCAAACAATCAAAAAGAGAAAATTGCTTCCACACGTCTTTTACTGTTTTACTGTTTTAAATTTTACTCATGATGGATATGTAAGTCACCTTTATGTAATATTTTTTAAACGTTGCAATTATGCCTTCATCTAATGGCTGAATAAGGCTTGTTGTATTGGGCGGAAGAAATACTATTTGAACTTGACACAATTGGCATCATTTAGCATAATTAAAACCGCTTCTTTGATTTTTCTTTTTTTACCATCCGTTTCTTTTAGGAAATAATTTTTAAATTTTAAAAAATTTTTTCAATGGAATAATTCAAATGTAGTCCTAAAAGAAACGGATGGTAAAAAAAGAAAAATCAAAGAAGCGGCTCTAATTATGCTAAATGAGGCCAATTGTGTCGCAAATTCCTCGGCAGAATGTAGTAGGATCTGGTTACCAATATTGAAAGAGGAAGTTATTAATAAGAAAATACCAGTATTAGTAAGTCAGTAACATATAGAGGATATATCATTTATGCTTTTTAAATAACGTAACATATAAAATCAGAATTTTGATGTTTGTTGAAGGTAAACTAAATTCACGAACAAATACTTACAATGTCGGGATAGTTTTTTTCCTGGTTTTTCCCTCATAATTTACTATGGAATCACTAACAGGAAAATTTTACTGTCATCATGTCATGTGTTTGTCTTTTTAAAGACGAATTACATGCTATGATTTTTTCTGACGGATATTCTCAAGTTAAAGTTGATTTCATGTAATCGAATGAACTATCTTATAAGTAAAGTCGTCCCAGGAGCGCAACTCAAAAATCTTGGCAATATCATTTTAAAGTCGTCTACTTTAAAATGCATAATGTATGTCTGAATTGTCAATATAAATGAGTCAGATAAAATTAAATTATTAGAAGAATTTTTCACTATGTAACAAAAAACAAAATTTGTTTAATTTACTGTTTATATTTTGAGAACGATTTCCGAATTGGAAATGATTGCAGTTATGGAATGAAAACAGTTAAATAGTAATTAATTTACAATGCCACAAGAAAATAGCTTCAGAACAATTTTAGAACATCCTATAAAAGAGAATTAAAATTAGTATTGGATGTGAATAGTTTATATTTAATAATAATACTTAATAATAGAAATTTTTGGATTAATTTTTGGACGAAATACAAACCACACAACTTTAAAATCGCATAAAAATAGACCTTACTGTATACTGTTATTTAGATTTCTGATTGATATATTATTAATATGAATATATTTAAAATATTTTTAAGGACAATCTGTTATTTCGACTGAAACCAATACAAACCAACCAGAAGAAAATTTCCCATCTGCATCTGGAGACAACGCGACAGCAAAATATTTTGAAAATCTCCCGAAACTCTCGACTCAGTTTCTTAACGAGATTAAAAAGGGTTTCCGTCATTGCAAAAAGGTCAATTTTTTAAGAAACGCTAGGAAGGTAGTTAGTTGTTCGGAAGAAAATTTGGTGAGATACTGCTCAGATTCGGAATTGATTTTTAGCTCTAGAGGAAATATCAATTACTGGACTAGAGTGGATGGATTTAGATTTAGAAAAAGTTACTCAAGTAGTGCTCTATCTACGGTATAAATTTTTATGCATGTTAGATTTCTACAATATTCATCAATAATATCATGAAGTGCTGTGTTAAAATATATGTATTAATAATGTGTTTCAAATAAAGATATTAGTAGAATTTCTTTTAATATTTTTCACCGTAAATTCAAACATCAATAATTTTTCGTTATTGAAATAAATAAATCGGCATAAACTGCTATTAGGTAATAGAAGGAGACATAGACGTTTGGGATAAAAAATGGAACTAAATAAATATCTTAGGGATATTATCTTAACACATAGGGGTATTTGAACGATTTAGGCGGCCAAATTGTGGCAGTATTGAAATTAGTGTTAGACACGAAAATATGAGTGAAAACATACGAATCTTAACTGACAAGCATTGTTATAATAAAATACAAAGTTGATGCTATTGTCAAAGCCGTTACCTAGCTATCCAAAATCGTCCCGAAACTGAAAAAATTCGTCCTGAAAGTAATTACTTGGTGTTTTCGATTTAATAAATTATAGCGAAACTTTTATTTTCGGGACGGCTGCAGGAAACGTTATTTACAAACCCACAAAGAAACTAAATTGCTGTAGCTGGCTGTACAATGTATCACAAAAAATTTATTTAAAAATTCCTTTATAAAATGTATAATACTAAAAACATGATGTACATGTAACATATGTATATGTTTGAAGCCACTAAATACATGGGTAAAACCCTTTAAATGTTGTTAAATTAACTTTAAAAATAAATACATTATTTAACTTTATAAACTATGATGTTTAAGTTACACCAGGAATTGATAAATGCGTATATGTTGCCAGTAAGGTTACATTCAGAAAGTTTGTCAAGTATTGCGTTTCTAGAGATGGTATCAACTGCGCCTTCTTTATCAAAGATAGTTGCTATCAAATCTTGCGTAATTACGTTGGAGATATGGGTTTGGCGTAGGACCAGATTATCTCTTGTGAAGCGCTGTCTTTGGTAGCCAGATTGTTCCTTTGGAATAATCTTTTTTTTTCAAAATACCATAAAACACGTTTGTTGATCCTTTTTCCATTAGCTTATACATAGTACATGTGAGGGAGATGGGCCTATAAGATTCTGGAAAGATAGTTGGCTGATTTGGCTTGAGTATTGGTATAACAATAGATTTGCTCCAATGAGATGAAAATTAATGGGAACTCCAGATTATACTGTATAAATTAAGGAATTGCATAAGAAATATCATCAGGCCCAGCTCCTGTGTTTCTATTATTAGCCAAGGCAGATAGTAGCTCGTGGATAGTGAAAGAAGAATTGAGGGATCTACTTTATTCAGACCATATCAGATGATTTCTTTGTGAATATGTCATGATGAGATAAAGTAATATTATTAGTTTTATTTCTGAACTTCTCTTCGAAATGGTTGGCAAAAGTGTTAGGAATAAGTTCATGTAAAGTGATCTTTATACCGTTTGAAATTAAACGAGTAATTTTATTATTAGTTTTGTGGCCTTGAATTTGTGTATTTTTTCCAAAGTTGGCTAGGAATGCAGTTTTCGTTAACGGATTATGCGTAATCTTGCCAGGATGATTTTTTACTTTTTTTTAACTACGTGTTTGGCTTTGGCTTTAAATTTTTTGTAATTTATTAGATTTTCAAGGCTTCTATTTTTTGGTACTTATTTAAAGATTTTTTGGTTAGAAAATTCGCCTCTTCACAAGAAGAGTTCTTCCAAGGAACTGCTTTATGATTTGGAAAGAATGTTGTTTTACTAATGCGAGTCTTAGCAGCTAAAAAAAAAAAGTGTCTGTTATTGACGTTAATAAATAGTCTACATCATTGGTTATTAGATAGTTCACATCGATACTCCATACCGAGCGGACGTTAAATGGTTCTCTGTTATCAACATTCGACCGGTTTTCTCGATTTGAACAGATAAATGTGAAGTGATTAAAAAGCAATCAATTAGTAATAGACTTAAAAATAATAAACTCATCAAATTAAATTTAAAAACAATACAGTAATTTATTTATAATGTTTCCAACGGGAAATGGACCAGGATTCGACAACTACATAGTTAGCCAACAAATACAAAATGTAAACAGCCAGCCATTACCAATCCAGTATCCATCAAACCAAATGAATTGTTACCCACAAATGCAGATTCCAAACAACACACAGGGTCAATCACAAATCAACAATATACAGGGTTATCCACAAATCTCATCACAAATACCAGGTATGTACAATATTCAAATAAATCAACCAACCACTAATTCTTCGACGAATATGATATTTCCGCCCAATCAAGAACAATATATAAATCAACAAAACGCGGCACACAACAGCAATATAAATAACAGAAATAGCCAGCAATACTACAGAATGTCATCAACAAGCGATGACGAACCAGAAAGTGCAAATGTGTCAACAAATAACTCATGGCAAGTAGTTAAAACTACAAAACGCAGAAAAATCAGATCAAATGTAGAAACAGACAAAGAAGATGATACCATTACACTATCGAACAAATATAATACCCTAACGGATACCCAAGAAAATGAAACCAATCAAAATGAAACAGCGCCAAGAATACCTAAACCACCACCAATATTTGTTTACGATGTAAGCGACTTCCCAGAAATGAGGAAAAAATTTACAGAAATAGCTGAAGCTGAACAATACGAAACCAGAACTATGGCAAATAATACAGTCAAAATAATTTGTAGCGATCCAGAAATATACAGAAAATTCTCCAGATATATGAGAGAGAACAACATTATTCATCACACATATCAACCAAAGGAAGAAAGGGCCTATAGAGTCGTAATTAAATACCTTCACTATTCACATGCAACAGAAGACATCAAAGAAGAACTGACAAAACTGGGTCACAAGGTAAGAAACATCATTAATGCTAAACATAGGATTACAAAAGAGCCGATAAATATGTTCTTTGTTGACCTTGAACCATCAGACAATAACCAAGATATTTATAAAATTCAGAAACTACAACACTGCAATATACAAATTGAACCACCTATAAAAAACAAAAATATCATCCAATGTATGAGATGTCAATTATATGGCCATTCAAAAACATATTGCAATAGACCATATGTCTGTGTGAAATGTGGAGGACAGCACAGTACAAGCAGTTGTAAAAAGAACAAGAACACACCAGCTACATGTGCTTTATGTGGAGGAGATCACCCAGCTAACTATAAAGGATGCGAATATTATCGTAATTTAAATAGAAATAAAAATATAGCACAAACTACATATAATCATCACCAAAATATGTCGCAAGCACGTAACAGAAACTTTATACCCAACACAGTAAGACCAAATGTAAGCTATGCTAATGCAGCGGGTAATAGACAACCTCCTGCTGCTCCTTCAGATAACCAAGATTCAAACACCATTCTTATGAAGTTTTTAGAAGAATTCAAAGCCATGTTTAATCAAATCTTGCAACAAAACAGCATGGTAATAAACATGCTAAGTAAACTCATATGCAAATAAAATTCTTTCTACGAATAGCAGAATGGAACGCCAATGGCCTGCTGAATCATAAGGACGAGGTGATAATATTTCTACAACAAAATTTTATAGATGTATTATTAATAAGTGAGACACATTTTACAGACAAATCGTATTTTAAAATACCTCAATATCTAACGTACCATACTAACCATCCAGACAAGACAGCCCATGGAGGTACAGCAATTTTGATCAAACAATCAATTAAACATTTCATGATGGAAAGTTATATAACAGACTGTATCCAAGCTACAGTAATTAAAGTGTGCTCATTACCTTACGAAATAACAATAGCAGCAGTGTATTGCCCTCCAAAGCACAATATTAAAAAAACCGATTTCGCATCCTTCTTCAATACTCTAGGTCCAAAATTTATCGCAGCTGGTGACTTCAATAGTAAACACACGTACTGGGGATCAAGATTAATAACAACAAAGGGGAGAGAGCTTTATAGCTTAATGCAAGAAAATAAATACTCATATTTATCAACAGGAACACCAACGTACTGGCCAACGGACCCCAAAAAAAGACCAGACCTCTTAGATTTTTGCATCATAAAAGGAATATCTAACACCTTTATGGACATAGTTCCAAGTTATGATCTATCTTCAGATCATTCACCAATTATTGCAACAATTAGCACCTGCGTTATTAACAAACAACCTACTCCAAAACTGCATGGACCTAGAACAGATTGGAACGTTTACCGAAAAATACTGGATGAAAACATTAAACTAAATGTAAGACTAAGAAGCCCTTCAGAAATAGAAGCAGCTACAAACAACTTTATGACATTATTACAAAACGCTGCAAAAGAAGCGACACCGAACGATGCAGATAAAAATAAAATCGAGAATAGAATAAATATTCCACTAGAAATTAAAAAGCTCATTGCTGAAAAAAGAAGAGCAAGAGCCAAATGGCAACAAAGTCGGAACCCAGCGGATAAAACGTTTTACAATCGCTTAGCCAATAAATTAAAAACACAACTAAAAATTGCAAGAGAAGAGTCAGTCAAAAAATATGTAACACAACTTAATAGATACGACCATTCAATATGGAAACCAATCAAATCATCCTTAAAACCTCAAGCAATATCGCCACCAGTAAGAAAAACCACAAACACACAGAACCAATGGGCAAGAAGCGATAAAGAAAAATCCGAATTATTTGCTGAACATTTAGCAACAGTATTCCAACCACACAACAATGAAGAAGATCAAGAAATTATTAATTATTTAAACTCAGAACAACCGTCAGTAAATCCAATAAAATTAACAACACCCAAAGAACTTAAAGAAGAAATCTTAAAACTAAATATCAAAAAGTCACCAGGAATTGACCTAATAACTCCAAAAATGCTAAAGGAATTACCAAAAAAGGGTATAGTGATCCTTACATATATATTTAACGCAATATTAAGATGTAATTATTGGCCTAACAATCTAAAAATTGCAGAAATACTTTTATTTCCAAAACCAGGAAAGGATCCAAGTGAAGTCTCATCCTATCGACCTATCAGTCTGTTATCAACAATCTCCAAATTACTAGAAAAACTTTTAATAAAAAGAATAGATCCAGGCCTTACAGGCGCAGAC